TATTTTCCAAAGCCATAAAAGCTGGCAGCATAACCTTTGTATTACAAGCTTTTCAATGTCTGTATATTTTTAGTTTTTGCATCGAGTATACACTTCTTGCTCATAGAACTAGTAACAAATCAACTTTAAGCCACCAGAAATTGATATTGCTGAATAAAAGTTTAATAAGTCAAATAAAAAGTGGAGTAAGCAAAGTTCCGTTTCTACAATGACTGTGTGATTTTCTTTATATACTTACTAGTAGTGCCTTTACCCTTAAAAAATCCAATTCGCCAATTTTAATAATTTTTTTAATGAGATAAAGACAATAATCAAAAGTGAAAAGTCATGATACTGTGCATATTCAAACTTTATATATTTTTATTTTCTAGATTGTGGACATAGTACGTTAGATCCAATTGGAGGATCATTAATTAAGGAACCAATTATGTCTGATTTCTCTGTTGCTGGTGGACGTATATATTATGACTGTGTTTGGACATTGTCTGCTCCAGCAGGCCATAGAGTACTTCTTTATAATAAACTTTTTCCACATACTGGTAAGAAGAATATTTTAATATGATGTAAATTTTCCTGCATTGGTATATACATAAACATTAAATATGGAGAAAGGTTTACTGTAGATTTTATAAATTTCATTACCGGTATTATGCAAAGAGAACAGGGAAAAATAAAATAATAAAAGTAATTTATCCATATATTGACAATATTTCTTTTTACAAAAACCATATGTAAGCACATAGTTGTCTAATTTTTGTCCAAGATTTACAATAATTGGTTTCACTCACAAAACTCTGTATTTTTCCATCATTTTTGTGTTCATGTTCGGTCAGATAGACATCATCGTTTGAATTGCATGGTCCCGTGTCTTCGACCTGTAGGCCTCTACACTATACCGTGCGGGATCACATAGGCTAATTGAGCATCTTAAGCAGTGAGATCAGATTGAGCACGCCTTGAAACAAGGCACTTCCTGTTTTTGTCGCTATGAAGACATCCTTCCCACACAAACTGTGTCGATGGCCGTACCTGGCTTGGGTTTTAATTTAACTATTTTCGCTGATAAGTAAAAATTTGCTTAATTAGTCTCCGTTCGGACAAAGTCCGAAAACGGGGACTTATAATTCGGTCTCTGTGCGTCCGTGTGTCCATGCGTCCGTGCGTCCGGCCGATTCTGTTCATTGTTTGCATGTGTCTAGTACTTTATGTGGGACATATGCACATGCAGTGGTTTAGCGATTCGATTCAAAATGACCGACTGGCAGCCATCTTGTTTTTTGTTGTATTTTGGACATGCTTTGTCAGTTTTCATTCAAACTTGGTACATAGATTATACATGTTAGGATACATACCCATGATGATTTATTTCACAATTGGATCAAAGATGGCCGACTGGCAGCCATCTTGTTTTTTGAAAATGTCGTATTTTGGACATGCTTTGTCAGTTTTCATTCAAATTTAGTACATAGATCATACATGTTAGAATACATGTCCCCGACCGTCCGTGAGTTCCTGAGTCTGTCCGCCCGACCGTCCGTGTGTCCGTCTGTTCGTGCGTCAGTCTATCCAACGTCATATTTCAGAATCCTGTGGACCGATTCCTTTCATTCTTTGCATGTGCCTAGTACCTTATGTGGGACATATGCACATGCAGTGATTTAGCGATTCGATTCAAAATTGTCGACTGGCAGCCATCTTGTTTTTTGAAAATGTTGTATTTTGGACATGCTTTGTCAGTTGTCATTCAAACTTGGTACATAGATTATACATGTTAGGATACATGTACATGACGATTTATTTCGCAATTGGATCAAAGATGGTCGACTGGCAGACATCTTGCTTTTGTTTTTTTATGCAGTATCTTGGACGTGCTCTGTCAGTTTTCATTCAAATTTGGCACAGACATGTACTTTATACATGTTAGGATGCATGTCCATGACAATTTGTTTCAAAATCTGGTCAAGGATGGCCGATTGACAGCCATCTGACTTTTTGGCCTTACTACTATATTTCCACAATTTATGTACCATTTTCATTCGTATTTGGCACATACATCATACATATCAGTGTGTTTCATAATCAGATCAAAGATGGCTGAATAACAGCTGTTTTTATTTTGGCCATATTACTATGACACGAAACACGTGTTTTGATGTAAATAAACAAATTGTTGTATAAGCCACTTGGAACTCAAGTTTCAGGGACACGCTCGCGACAACCCCTCCGCTTTAATATGACGAGCACAAGTAGAACTTAATGGGGACTATGTCATTTTCAATGACTTGTTAAATCTACGTGAACATGTAAAATACCCGATAACAATGAAACTAATTGTTTCCTTGACAAATTTGTGAAATTAAAACACAGTGAATATGCTCAAGTCATCAAAATAGTGGAATTAAATGTCAGTGAAAATAAATGGTTTTACAGTGATACTTAATTTCTGTTTTACCTCACACATAAGATCCTATAAAATCTGTCTCAAAACAATTACATATGACTACAAGAGTTAATTTTGCAACGTATTTATATGGGTAATCTTTGAGTTGCATACTACCAGTGTATTAATGAACATTAGAACATTAAATTAAATACTAGTATGCAGTCACTATTTAATGTACATGTGACAAAGTGAGGACTTTGGCAACATAAACTAGTACTTAGATGAGCCAGTTATATATAAGAACGTTCTAATATATATTTAATGATAATATCGTATAATAAATATAGTCAGTAAAGTCAATCCAGTTTTATAATAATATAACATCTGATCTGAATTGATTATTCTTTGATAATAAATCATAAAAAAGTATGCACATTTCACCATTGCTTAGTTCATTGAGGTTGAAGCCGTATAAAATTAATAAATCAAAAAGTCACATTATTTGCTAGGAATGTCATATTGTGTATACCATGTCATCTGTATATATTTACCGTTTGTGAATTACTTATTAAATTATTTCAAATTTAGGTTGTTTTTTGACATCATATTTTTTTCTGATTCATAAAGTAATAATACATAAGCACAACCGTATTCTCACAGGGTTTTATTTTTCCTAATTAAACATGAAAATAAAGAAATGTTCCATTCGATCTACAGAGGAGGGGGGGGGTGTATTTCTATAAATTTGCCCAGTAATGATGACGCAGCTTTATAAAAATGTGACATCACAATCTTGTTCATTCTGATGGGTGAGTTGGTTACCCATGCTAAAATTACAGAGTTCCTGTTTTCTCTCATAAGATGTATGTGTTGCAGTCACTTCATTTAGATAAACAGAACACATTCATAAAAATGTTTTGACACATTTACCAAAACTTATCTAAGAATGTTGCTGTTTTTTTGTTTGGTGTACAAAAAATTTAGCGATGACAGTAATTTCTCTTTAATTTGATTGCATATTTATAACCACAATTGAGGCATATACACAACATTGTGATTTCAATGATTTTTTTTTTCCAGTTTCAGATGAATTCAATTCTGTAGAAATTCGCAATGGACGGACATCAGTATCTCCTTTACTACAAACAGAGAATGATCATTGGTCAACTGCAACATTAACTACAAGTAATTGCGTATATATTAGACTTACTGCATGGTTTCATTCCAGTGATGCATTTCTTATTGTTTATGCTTCATTCATTAGAGCAGGTAAGTTATTTTCATTGTATGTTAGTTTTTAACATGATATATGTATAGTACACTTACACTAACTCTGAGAATTGTACTGCAGCAAAAACTAAAGCAAATAGTCTTTTAGGATAATAAGGTCTCCATTTTGTCTCACAAACAAATGAAATGTGTGTCCATTATTTCATTGTTGGATTTGGTTACAGAGATACATTGTATATTGATTTAAAGTCAAGTATTTATTATCAGCCCATTTGTAAATTACATGTAACGTCATAATGCCTTGGCCAAGTTTATCAAAAATGTTTATGAGAAATGGTGGTGTATTATAACCTTGATTTTAGTGCTCTAAATACAATAGGCATGAGGACCTGTCTGTAAAAATACTGGAATTGTTTCTTGTCATTATGTTCTCCAGTTTGAAACAAGTGTAACATGCCATTATTGGGGGGGGGGGTGCATATGTGTCAAAATGAAACAAAAAATGATGACAACTTAAACAAGAAAATAAAAATTATACATACAAATACTAGATATAGCAGCAGGTTTGAAATGCAATACTTAAGCTGTTGTTACATGTACATCTTTTTAAATTTCAATATATACATTATTTTTTTTTATAGAAGATGGTAAATGTGCTGATAACTTTTTTCTATGTGCGGGTGAAATGCGCTGCATACATTCCAGCTTAATTTGTGATGGGATTGATCATTGCAAAAATGGACCAAGTGGAAATACCAGTGATGATGAAAGATCTGAGCTTTGTTCATTCAGTACAACAGTTTTGAATGACAATGGTAAATATAGCCAGAAAATTGTTCCAGAAAATTGGTTATAGAGTATCCAGGCTGACATTTGTTATTATTGGGCTTTTTATCCTGAAAATAAGCAAGTGTTACAAAGTACTATATAAAATTGATGACAAAAAATAGCTAGGAAACTGAACAAGGCACAGACTTGTTAATTCACTTCTCAACATTGACCTTCAATTGTCTTCTCAACATTGACCCTATGTTCATCTACTAAATTGATGGGATAGTTATTCTATGTTGATACTGAATGATTTTCATGACAAGAAAACAGCTTTAATATTGTGATATACAAATTTTCATGAAAATCAGGGAGCATTGCGAAATATTGTATCAGTGAAGATTTCACTGAAGACTTTAGACAGTAAGTCACAGTTGTCAAACATTTCTTTTTGTGAATATTGTGAACAGTTTATATTGTTTTGATATATTTAATAGTATACATTTATATCTGCATCCCATTTTGACCTCAGTTAAACTTTCTATTTTTCAGGAAGCACAGCAGTGATTATCCAAAATACAGCGAGTCATAATGTATCAAGTAATGGGACAGAGGTCAACTCTTCAGTTTTTAGTCCAGATATCGCATATACAGTCAGTGCTATGTCTGTTCTCACCATGGTTATTCTACTACTTATTATCAGTATTAAAATTTGGATGAATAAGCGAAAACAGGCAAGAGCTGCATCAGCTAGCAATGACATTGGTTCAGAAGGTGAGAGAATTGCAACAATGTTGGCTAAAATTGTTTTGGCATAGAAGTTGAGAAGAAGTCAGTCAATAAAAATATGATTTTTGCCGCTTGTTTAGTCCAGTAGCAAGCATTAAATCAAAAATAAGGAAATAGAGTTTTCAGACCACCTGTTGGATTGTATGTAATTGCTTGACTGTGTACAACAATAAGGAAGTGTTACAATTGATTATTATAAATTTTTGTTGATGTACACATGAAAAAGTCATGGGGAAACAACAACAATGACAACACTCACCTCAACTTTTCACACTAATACTGCATGACAAAAGCCAGATTTCAACATAGCAGAACACACTAAGTTTATCTGGTGTTTGTTTGTATTCTGTTATTTTGGTATGTCACAGTCACAGAATTTGATTTTTCCTGTCCAATAACCTTTATGTTTATATAAAAAGAGTAAGATGCAAATAAGGAGTGAATGAATTGTAGCTACTGTAACATAATTTATTTTCACTGAATGAATGAATTAGTAAAAATACATTTTTTTTTTCTATTTTTTACATTTAACTCATTCAAAATCAGTAAAAATAAACAGCAAAAATGTTTTGGCAGCACAAATTAGTTCAAGCTAAAATAAAGTATTTTACAGCATTGCATATTTACAATGGAAGACAAAAGTAATTGTTTTGTCTAATATTTGTTTATGTACTTTTTCAGATGTTTTAGATACAAATACAGTCACAGTTACAACTCGAACAACTCCATTTATATATATTAATCCATCGTTTGATCCAGAGAATTTAGGGATTGTACCTCCTCCACCTTATGACCAAGTCATGCAGTCTATAGCCAGTCATAATGGACTAGAGTCAGGGACTGAAAATAGAAGACACTCAAGTGACCCACCACCGTATTATCCCGGACATGAAACACCAATCATGAATCCAATATACAATGCCCGTAATACTGTGTGGAACAATGGTTATCTTGCAAGCCATGGGTTTGAAGGTACCAACAATAGCATAGACTATGGATATTATGGAGGCAGTTTGCAGGTATCTACCAGTTTACCACCCCATAGAACAATGTATAATTCTGACAATTACATGTGTCAAGATGATGACAGTCATTATGAAAATGATATAAGTACTGAAAATAACAATGATACTGCCACAAGTGAAGATAGCCAAGATGATGGTAATATTTATTTGGGTGATGGAGAGGAAGAGCTTCATGATAAAGACAATGATGATATTCTGGATTGTTCACTGTTAGTTGTCTCATATGATAGAAATGATGACAATGAAGAGGCAAATAGCTCAACATCAGATAGAAACTCAGAACAGTCGTTATACTTGGATCCAGAATGTTCTGTTGAAGTTTAATATGAGTTAAGGCGTGAATCATAATATCTGAGGGAGAGATGAAGGTTCGATATTTTGTAAAATTGTTGGTCATCCCTTATATGATCTAGCAGTAATCTTCCTAACTACTGATCTGTGAGTCCTAATAATAGTAATTGTAGTAGGTACTAACTCGATAGTCAGGTGAGTTGAGTTAATCACCAGAAAATGCATTGTCCAAATTTCTTTAATTACCTTCTTACTTTATATGGCTGGGTGGATACATTCTTTACTTACATATGTATATTACAGTTAGGCCTGATATAGATGACACAATATACATAAGGAACTGGATTCCAATCTGCTTTAATTCTAGTAGCATTTTTGTTTGACTGTTTACTCACATCAAACTTGAATGTCTACAAATAGTTATGCACTGCTCAATTGTGTATTATCATGTTACAAGACCATATACGTACTGAGTTTCCTTGCTATGTTTTCACATATAGAGGAACATGGCTGAATATATGAATAGTTTTAGTTATTTATCACTGTGAAAATCATACCGTTAGTTACCGAAGCAGAAAAAAAATTGACCCTCATAAAATGTATTGGTTTTATACACCAATATTTGAATAAAGGAATTTATTTTGACTTCTGCAGGCTTTTTAGGCAGACTGGTTGAAACTACCAGTAGAAATTTTTTTTATCCAAGCAATTTTATATACTTTCACAAACAAGATATTGAATGTTTAGTCTTGTTGTTTCCAAATATTTTATCTCACATCAAAGCGTTACTTTTAGACATTTTATTTTTTTGTTGGGTATATAGCGTTTGGACATGCTGCTTTAAATGTATATAAGTTTCTAGAAATATAATGATTATGATTCCTGATTTTTGCACTTCAAGTGTAAATTGGTGGATGTGAAATTATTACATTGCTATATGAGAGTTACAAAAAGTGCAATATAAAATTTGCAATGAAACATTCTACCTGTGTACTGCTCTCGATAGAATGAACCATTCAGGTAAACCCTTTCAAATTTGAAGAGATGAATTCTGCCATTCATAAACAATGCAATGATTTCATTTATACTTTACTTTTACAAATATTCTGAGAATTATTCTGACAGACAGTTAGATTGTTAGTTTGCAAATTTGCATAACAATGTAAACTTGACGTCGCCTTTCTATTGACACACCCATAGTTTTTGATCATTCCATTATCATACTAGAACCTGTTCATTAGAATATACAAACAGGTTATTTTGAAGTGTTTCAATATTTCTTGAATTACTTATAGATCAACAAGAAATGAAGAATAATCATGTTGATCATCCCTATGGAATAGTCTATCTATTAGTGCTGGCAAAGTCTAGAACTAATCAACTGCCAAAGTACTTTGCAAAGTTGTGAGCCATCTTGCTAACTGAATAATTCTCAGAACTACTGTGAATTCAAATATTTAATAGTGAAGCATAGAGCAGCCATTATAACATATGAAAAATTTGGTTAGACTCAGTTTTTGCTTCGAAGCTTCAATATGCACATTTAATTATTATAGGAAAGTTTTTTTTTTCAAACATGTCTTCGTTGTGTGTTCTATATAGTGCCCTCTAGTGTTCAAATAGTTTCGTAACTGACTGTCCCAAGATTTAGAGAACCAATCCCTATCAACTTTGAATAACTGAACATGCACTTTACTAAAGCCATGCTTAAACAAATAAGGTGCTCTATTTTTACTAGAATATTATCATTTTGGGTTACATGGAAGTATATAATTGTATGATAATTTTCAGAAGTCACTATGATGTGTAAAATGTCATTTGTAAGCTTCTGTGTCATGTGATATATTTGTCAGAGTACTTCTTTAAATGTTAAACATATCTATCATTGTTTATATTAATATCATTGTTTATATTAGCTCATAGCTTGTTTTATCCATTTGCTTCAACACAAAGTGTTTTTGAATAAAAATGCTGGAATCTCTTTAATCACTCGCTAGGTGATCGTCGTGTCATAGACCAAATTCAAATGAACCTGCAGGTTGGGATCAATTATATTGAAACATATTGCCAGAATCATGTATATTTTTTTAAATTAAAATAAATTATATATTTATGATCTATTTAATTATTTTTATCACACTTGAAATTATGAAATAAAAGAGAAAAGTATTTAAATTTAAGTATCACTCATGTTCATTCTTTCATTTTTGCTGTGTGTTCATTATTGACAACTCCAATGTTTGTTCAGCTTCTTTTTCACTGCAATCAATTAGGTTGCCTCATTGGTCTACAAGCAAATAGGACATTGCCCTTCTGTAGATTATAATAATAATTATCAGAGTGATAAAGTGTTCATTTCTAGAATGTATAATATGAGTTGAAATATTGGGTTTTGAGGAAGTTGCTTACTGGAAGTATTTGGGCATCAAGTTGGCTTTCGACAAATCTGTTTTAGGTGTAAACAAATTAGGTTAAAATATTGGGAGAATATCTCACAATCAGGAGACTTTAACCCATTTTTTCTGTATGAAATAAGAAAGGTCAAGGTTTTAAACAACGGTAGCTCATCCTCAAAACGAATGTATTAATTTACTGTTGGGTTGTTGTAAAATTGCACAGTCCATATAAATGTTGCATACTTGGGTTGTATTCCTATCAGAGTCACGGTCTCCTAATAAGACCTAAATTTATCTTCTAAATTATCCCAGTTTGCTTTGGGGTAAGGCGCTTCTTTCTATCACTATACAGTTAATTAATTTCTAAAAATATTTTTGCAAGGTTGTAAGGTACCGGGTATTAAAATTGGTGAGTTTGACATTAGACCGGTGAGGGCGCTGTAGGTGAAAAATAAGGAAAGAAAAATGCACACACATTGAAACGAGGGTCTTGGGCCCAGTTAGCTGCGGTTCCGTAGCTCTTTGGTGCGACCTACAATCGAATTTCGCCCTAACAATTTCATTTGGACGTCTTTTTTTTAATTTTGTCTTTGTACGTACGTTTTAATTTTGTTGTTGTGGGCCGGCTAAGAGTCAGTCACGTAAATAATGCGGTCGGCAACATAGGGCTATGATTCCACAGCTAGGGTCCAGTAGGAGAAACTATTACAGACTATCTACAAATAAATGGCGTTTTCAAATTGAATATGCACACTCTGAAATACACGAAACTGTATGTACAAATACAAATATTGCTAAAGACAGACCAAAGTCCTCCAAGGATAATCTATTACAAGATGAAATCAACCTGTAAACAAAAACTCTATATAAGGTCAATCACCTTGAAAACAAAGTAAAACAGAAACTATAAGTATCAGCTTCGATGGGAAGAGTGGGAGAGCAGAGTAACATGCAGCAGGGACTGTGAAGATCAGACTGCTAGTAATTTGAAAATGCCAACATTGATATGGTAATAGAACGTGAGGTGATTGGCTGGGGATGATATTTGACCCCAGTCCTAACTGAATGATGTCACCAGCCACAAATCTAAAACTACAGAAATGTACGCAATTATAGAATTCAAAATCATAAACTCACACGGTCTACAAATAGAACTTAGACGACACCAGAAGCCCAAAATAAAAGTAGAAAACAGAAATAGATGATATCAGAGGTACATTACTTGGGGTTTGTAACTACGGTGACATGATACCAAGATCCCGTCACAATCTCGCTCTCGCATAAACGTTCAAACTCAGAAAAAATGCGAATGCGCATGCCCGAGGTAACTAGGATACTGGGATGTCCTGGTGGATCAAAATAGCTGCCCACGATATGACGGATTACGAGAACTATATTTTCTGTACATTTTCGATGTATTACATTTTTCACTATGATAGTGACAAGAAAAGTTTATTTTTTTCATTACAAACCTTGAACATTGATATGCGTCATGTCAGAAGGTCGTAGCCTCAGTCTCGCTATCTACGAGAAGAGACTTGAATGGGATCTTGACATGATGTCACCATTCAGTACTATGCGAGTTGCAAACCCCAAGTAATGTACCTCTGATGATATACATTTCATTACAATTTACGAAAATGATAGGAATGAGAGACAATGTATCATTTGAAAAAAACTTTGACAAACAAAATGTATAACTCTTGAAAAAAAAAATGCTGTCACTTCTGACAAGACCTTACTCGCAAACAAAAAATAATAATAATAATAATAATAATAAGATATTATATATACATGTAATAAATATTGTAGAAAATTTTAATATTGCTGTTTAATACTCAATACTGTAGGCCAAATTGTATCATAATTTATATTAAAAATGGTGCATTTGTAGGACACATCAGTATTCGTTAGATGAAAAAATCAAACCCACCAATACGCATGTGCAGTGATTACTATTGTACGTACCAAAAACAATTAGTGCACATGCGTAGTAAAGAATTCTATTGACCAGCGAATGACGAAAACTCTGTGTGTTACACGGAGAGCATTTGCAGCTCATGATAAATCAAAGCAAAATGTTTTCATCAACATTTCATCTTGCCTGGGGTAGTACTATCAGGGGGAGATTTCTGTACTCTCGGGTTCTCCACACTTGCCAGGGGGGAAATTCGTCTCGTCTCTCTATCTCGTCCCCTTGAGGTACGGGATCGGGGAAGTCACTTATACTTTACAGTCAAATAAGACGCACACAACGAAATACGTTTCAGCTCTCGTCTTAGTCGGTCAATCGAGCACTCTATAAGACACAGCGCCCTGGGGAAAAGTCCCCAAGACTCTCACAAGGCTGAACCAAGACTCGCCCAAGACTGGACTGCCTCAAGGCTCGCCCCTGGACTCTCTCGGACGCTCCAGGACTGCACTCTCTCTCTACTGCGTCTATCGTGCTGTGCTCCCCAAAACCAACTCAAACTCTCTTTATTCATTTTCAAAACTCTAACCAATCAAAGCAGTAAAAAGACTCTAGGGCGTAACCTTCAATCATAAAGCCAATCACACTAAGTACTGAATACGTCATATCTTTTCATTAATCGTTCACTACATTAATAACTATGGATGTAAACTGTCAGAATGAGTAGTCTAAAAAGCGGCGGTTATCTGGTAATTAGTTCCAAATCACTGAGCCAAG